CTCAAAGCTACTATGAAAGATCCCCAAACATTTTGAGCCTGCAGATGTTCCAGGCGAACGCAGCCTTCTAAGAACAAAACTGAAAATGAAGGTTTGCCATTTAAGTTTCTTCTAACACAACTCCTACAAATCAAAAGCTTGATGCACAGTCAACCAGAAGGTGGCCTAATTACATCATGTTTAAATTAAGGTAATTCCATATAGGCTACATAGAATAATTTATGTATTTTTCTCATTATGAAACTTTCCTATATAGAGATAGCCATTAATTCTGAGAACATTAATTTTGGCTAGGGCTCTAGATTCATGTAGTATTACTTTTTAAAACACTATCTTATAATAAACACTGCAGTAGTAAAGGAATTCTGTTGTAGAAAAACAGATAATACTTAATTGCAGACCTAAACTATTTACAAATGGTTCTGATCATATCATACAATGGAGGAACTTACACATGTGTTTGATTTGACATCAATTTCAATAAACACCGATTGAGGACTTACATATTACTAAATCCATATGATGTAGTTTTAAAATTTTTTATTAAAGATTTATTTATTTATTTGAGACAGAGACACGGAGAGAATACAGGAGGTGGGGGAGGGGCAAAAGGAGAGGGAGAAACAGACTCCCCACTGGGTAGGGAGCTCAATGTGGGGCTCGATCCCAGGACCCTGAGATCATGACCTAAGCCAAAGGCAGATGCTTAACTGACTGAGCCAACCAGGTGCTCTGATATGATGTAGTTTTTACTGCTATGTTGGTTTTTCTGCACGGAATTATATCAAGAATAAGTTGTTTATTGTTTTAGCAGGTTGCCCTCTGGTCAGGCCTACCTAACTACAATCAACTGCATCAGCAAATCAACCTATTGATTATCTCTTGAGTCTATTTTAAGTTGAAACTTTGACCAGGCAGTTATTGGAATAGATTTATTTTTGCAAACAAGCAGATTACAAAGGCAAGCAGGCTTGCAAGGACTATCTATTGAGAAATCTTGAAAACATTTTGTTTAGAAAGTTAAAGCAATGTCTTTATTCCATAAGATAAACATCTAAATCCGACTGGCTGCAAATTGAGGTTCTCTAATGTCGATATTTAAAGATGCATTGATAAACTTGTCAGTTTTCTATACAAATACATTACTTAGATATGTAAGGGTAAAGTTATGAGAAAACTCATGAGACAAGTATTAAAATTTCAAAGTCATTCTTATTTGATTTAGTATGGGTCCAGCTTTAGTCAGAATTGGTAATGAAAAGTAGGACATTTATTTTTTAACAGTAGAGAAAGTTCATCAAATCCTTGAGGAAAAGTTTGACATTTGGGTCACTCCTCCTAATGATATTGGGTTTGTAGAATTGATATCGATCAAGAACTAAGAATTCTATTTCTGCTTAGGAGCTTTAAAAATTGATTCTGGGAAATCAATTTTTAAAGCCAACTTTCCCCAAATCCACATTTCTTATTAAACTTTATTTTACTGCATTTTATTTAATATTTTGCTTGTAGAACTGAGACTTTTTTTCTATTAAACAATAAAATTCCTTAAAATGAGTCTTGGGCAGATGACATGGTAACAATGTTTTAGTTTTTTTTATTTTTATTTTTTTTTTGGTAACAATGTTTTAAAATTTTTTAAACCATATAATATGCAAATGTCTTATAATTTGGGTGGTATTGTTTGGAAATGTACTTTATTTATTTTTATGTAGGCTCTATGCCCAACGTGGGGCTCAAGCTCACAATTCTGATATCAAGATTGCACGCTAGGAGAACTGAGCCAGCCGGGGCGGGGGGGTGCAGCGGGGATGCCCCTAGGTGGTATTGTTTGAAAGAGCCCCTCCTTCCCCCTTTCCCAGACTAGCTCTGGCCACAGGTTTGTCCATCCTCTTTCTAGGTGTTTATACACATATATAGCTGCACTGGCACAAAGACACATGACTTTTGAGTTTTCCCCTAACATTTTAATTCTATTTTCATAACATTAATTTTCTTGATAAAGCAGTAACAGATTTAATAGGACAAATGTTTAGCTCTGCCAAATAATTTGTAGTAAATTAACAGTTGAAACAACTGATTAGGCACAGGTGTCTCATTAGAGAATCTGTTCTCTGGCCTGATGACTCCTAGTCACAGTTGGGTAATTCTCTGTTCGTGTCCAGGGGAATGTAGGAAGTGTGCTACACTCTGTCAGGACCATTAAACAGTTTATTTCTGTCTCACATTATTGCTTTTACGATCAGAAAGAACAGGGCACTTGAAAACCTCACCAAGGGTCACCTGAAAGAGGTTCTGCTGACCTTCAGTCATGCCCTCTCTTCATTCCTCTCTGTTCGTCTTGCCCTGTCTTTAACTTTCATCTTTTTTTTTTTTCCTTTTCCTAAGTTTTTCAGGCACCCATGATTGTTGTTGATTTTGGGGATAAAGCATACATACACTTTACAAGTGGAGTTGCATTTGCTAAGTAGGTTACACCCAAATGCCAATGAGCACCAATTTTCTGGCCTTGTGCGCACAGCCAGCACTACAGTCAGAGAGACCCAGGTTTGAATCCAACACCTGCTCTGCGACCATAACAGACTACATAATCAATAGCTAACTCAGGTCCCTCTTCAACAAAATGGGGGTAATAAGATCTGCTTCATATGGCTGTTGTGAGGAAATAGTGAGTGACATACACAAGATTTCCTAGCTTAATCTCTTGGTGAAGGGTGGTTATTATCACTACAGTATCAGCACTTGCCTGGGGATGGTGTGAGGGAGATAGAGAAAAATCTCAGTAGATCTTGATCAGTGGCTTAGCTTCTGGGAAGGCACTTTTAACATTGGCAAAAGGTTTTGTGAAGAAATGGAGAAAGTAGGGATCAAAAGTGAAGTGACCTGGACAATTTGTTGGGTAAGATATTTTGAATTAAACAAAGCTCAAAGGGGTAAGTGCAAAAAGTTTACAGGACAAAGTCAAAATGCTACCATGCCAGACGGGGAAAGGTGGACTTCAACTCAGTATAGCAGCCCTGCTAGAATTAGTTAAATAAATGCTGTTTATTTATAAAGCCAATAAGATAGTGGGATGCATGAAAGGCAAAAGGCAGGAAGTGGCCTGTCAGTTCTTAGCACTGGTCTGACCCCAACTGTGGCTACTTGTGTCTCCCCTTGAAGGAGGATGTGGGGAGCTGACATAGCTCCAGAGAAGAGCAAAAATGTAATTAAGGTTTGGAAAATAAGGGCTAAGAGGAAAGGCCAAAGAGCTGTGGGGTTATTTAGTTTAAAAAGAATAAAGGTCTAACAGATTTGACAGGTCATTGTAAGAAAGACATTGGTTGTTTCCCATTTCCACAAATAATAGGGCAAGAAGAAAGAGGCTTTACATTGTACTTCAGAAAGTTTAGGGGCAGAGAATTATTAACAGGGAGGCTCCCGAGTCTTCCTGGCAACTGGGGGGGGGGGAGATTAATGTACAATTGTGGGTGTGTCCACTCATTCACATTTACATGTGAAGGAAGAATGAACGTGGTATTTGAATATGAGCTTTTTGATTATTTTGAAAGCAAACCAGGTGCTCATTGCTTGAAATCATTTAGTTGTTACCTATTTAAATCCAGTTACTAACAAAAAGTTAGTTTGAAGGTATAGACACAAATCAGATAGGTTCCGGATTTGCTTTTCTTTTTTTAAGATTTTATTTATTTACTCATGAGAAAGAGAGAGAGAGAGAGAAAGAGAGAGAGGCAGAGACACAGGCAGAGGGAGAAGCAGGCTCCATGCACCGGGAGCCCGACATGGGATTCGATCCCGGGTCTCCAGGATCGCGCCCTGGGCCAAAGGCGAGTGCCAAACCGCTGCGCCACCCAGGGATCCCGCAACATATTGGTTCCGGATTTTCTGAGACAAAGCCTTGTCCCATTAGATTGCTTTTGGCTGGAACCAACTAAAATGCTCTCCGAGGCTGTATCTATTTACTGAATCCCAGAAGAAACTACATTTGATTGTGACTTTTAGGGAGAGTTTGATGAACCCCAGTGCTGGTGTCCATATCATTGCACATTGAGACTAAAGGGTTCTCTGCCTTTCATTTATCCACTTAGGATAGAGATGGAGAAGGTGGGGCTCCACATGCATTTCAGCTCGGGATGTGGTAGTGTCCAAGTCCGAGGGAGAGGAGCGCATTTGCTTTCGTAAATATGTGGTCTGTCAATGGTTCCCACTGTCTTCCAATTTAGGTGACTGGTGGCCAACTTCAGTCTAGATGCTTCCTCTGCAACTAAGCGAGGCCACACTGGTGAGGATTTCAAAAACTCAAAATAGTTTTGCTTTTCATGTTTCTCTTCTCCTTTCCATCTATCAGTCTTTATATCATCGTTTCTATTATTAATTTTGAATTACATCAATAATCTAGAACAATATGTTTTGGGATTCTCCCATGTTAGTATGTATGATCTACTTCCCTCATTTTAACTACTGCATTTTATTCCTTGATATGGACATGCCATCATTTATTTTTGCTCTCACTTAAAGATATTTAAGAGTAGTAATCATAATGAAAGTTGGGATAATAGTTACTTGCGGAAGGGTAGTGATTAGAGGTGGCATGTGGGAACATTCTGAGGGCCTGTAAATATTCTACACCTGGCTCTGAGTGGTGATTACATGGAGTGTATACATATAAAAATTGTCTCATTTGTGGACTTCACATACTTTATTGTATGTAAATTATACCTCACAGACAAATTTTAAAAAAGTCATCATTCTTTAAAAATATTATAAAGTATTCAAAAATTATAAAGTATTAAATTATATTTCTGAAGAAATAAGACAAGGGTGTAGAAAAGGAAAGTTGGGAAGAAAAGGAGCTATCATTTAGAAAGCACCTGTTGTTTTCTAAGCACATTATGTCATTTCTCATTTAATTATCAACAAGTACTCTGTGGAGTGGGTATTCGTGTTCTATTTTCATAGATGAGGTATCAGACTCAAAAAAGGTTAAGTAAAGTTCCAAGTTCACAGGTGCTTGGCAAGTAGCAGAGTCAGGATTTGAACTAAGATCATTAGGACTCAAGGTTTGAATGCAATTCTAAGGAGAGGCTGTTAAATCGAAGAAGGCAGAGCTCAGAAGCTGAATGCATTGCCCAAACTTATGCTCAGGGTGAGTGGCAGATCCATCGACCCAGCCCGCTGATTCTTTGGTGCAACAACTTACTTCCTTTCTGTTTGATTTTCAGAGTATTTAACAAAGTTATTCTATTTTATGTCCTAGAAGAAAATGTGGGAGATGAGGATTTACTGATGAAGAAACTTTTAGAAATTTCCTACTGCCAAAGATGCAAACATGTGACATTTATGAACATGTCCTAGAAGAAAATGTGGGAGATGAGGATTTACTGATGAAGAAACTTTTAGAAATTTCCTACTGCCAAAGATGCAAACATGTGACATTTATGAAAGGGTAAACAAAACTATTTGGGAGTCTGAGAACTTTCTTTTCATTTTGGTCCTGGGAAAACTTGGAAATTATATGCTTTTGTAGAAAATGATTTGGTTTTTAACCTAAGAAATGTGTATGAGAGTTAGGGATTTTCCTTGTTTTGGAACTTGTGAATGATATATCATTTGTTTAAAGATGGTAAGAATAGTTTAAATGACAAAATGATCTGGGACAATTTAGGAATACTCATTTTTTAAAAAAGATTTTATTTATTTATTAGAGAGAGAGAGAGAGGCAGAGACACAGGCAGGGGGAGAAGCAGGCTCCATGCAGGGAGCCCGACATGGGACTCGATCCTGGGTCTCCAGGATCACACCCTGGGCTGAAGCCTGCACTAAACCGCTAAGCCACCGGGGCTGCCCAGGAATACTCATTTTTAAAAAAGATTTTATGTATTTATTTGAGAGAGAGAGAGAAGAAGCAGGGGGAACGGAAGAAGGAAAGGGTGACACAGACTCCCCATTGAGCAGGGGCCAGATGTGGGGCCCCATCCCAGGACCCGGGGATCATGACCTGGGCTGAAGGCAGTCACTTAACTGACTGAGCCACTCAGGTGCCCTAGAAAACTCATTTAAAAGCATAAACTGTGTAAACTTCCATGTAATAATTTTGGTTATAGAGACTAGTTCTCTCTTTTCTGGCTACGTCCTCTCAGTTTAATTCATTAGACTTTAAAAATTTTCCCTTTTCTATAATTTTCATTATTAAAAACTCTTTTTTCTTTTCTTTTAGTGCTCCTGGTTCTCAATCACACTGCTTCAAAGAATGAAGAGGTAGACCAGACAAAGAGTGGTGGGCAGCAAAGCAAAGTTTCTGACAGTAAAGTTTATTGAATGATTGTACAAAGCTCCCAAAGAGGGAAGGGACCGGAGAGGGTTACCTTATACTTTTTTCTCTTCATTCTCCTCCTCTTGATAATTTTCTTCCACTTCTCATTACTGAGTTATATATGTTTTTATTATGTCTCAGCACTTGGCATGAAGTTGTTGACGTCAAATCCACTTAACCATATTTGAGAGATTGATAATTGTGCTCTTTTAGTAATGACGGAATGCAGCACGAACACATACTCCTCATATAATCAGCTCACTCCCATAATTGCAATAAACTCTATTCTGAAATGTTATCTATTGAGAACCATAAAACTTTTAAACCGCCAAGAGGACATTTGCTACACTTGTAAGTAATAGAATCTTAGATTGTTAGCCATGAAAGAGGTCTAATTTTGTACAGGAGGAAACAGCAGCCCAGGGATCTTTGTGCAAATTGATTACTTTCATCATAGCAATCTAACTTGCGTAACATAAAGTCAATGATATCATTTCTTTATAGCGTTTATTAAATGAGTTTGTAATGCCTACTTCCATAGTTGATTTGGTTTTGGAGGCGTGTATTATAATGCATGCAAAGTTGAAAATGCCTTTTGCACCTTTTAGTCATGTAGTTTATAAACATAGAAACACTAGTAAAGAAAAAAGAAAAAAAGAGCAAAGATACAGCATATTTCTTCCAGATACTTGTGTTCCCTGGCATGAAGTGTGGTTACAAGTCAGTGGAATCACCTTAGGCCCTCAAAGTTATATTCCTAGAGTGGACATGAATAAAAGGCATAGACCTATGCTTTCCCTGTTAGAATATGCATTATATGCTAAGTAGAATCTTTGGCTATTTGTGCCTCTCTGCATCGAAGAACAAGATAGCCAAGCCCAACCGCATGTCCACTGTCTTTGACATGGTTATGGTTTTCTGATGATGACAAGTCCACAAAGCAAATTCCAGTCTACGATGTGACAGAGAAAAGGTTTTGTTCAAGGTGAGTTACAACTACATCAGTAGAAATATATTTTGAAATATTGTCTCTGGAATCTATCATTTTAGGAGATGTAAGTCTAGGAGACATATTCCCCTTTTCCCCAAATAAAGTAGTTTTCTTGTTTTTCTTTTCCGATTACAAAAATGATAGGGTAAGACAGACAATCCAAGCCATACAGAAAATTACTAAAAACATGAAGTCATCCTGGCACCCAAGAAATGTTAAAATTTCTCTTGACATCTCTCTATGTATTTTATCCATCTCTGTGCGTGCATATGTGTGTGTATACTTATATAAGTGATACCATATACTTGTATACTTTGTTTTTAACTTAACCATCTGTCATGGAGATTTTCTTTCCTTTAATGAGTATCAGGTTCATAGTGCAGGTAATGAGTAAAGGTTCATGATAGCCCATTATATGGATATATCAGAATTTAATGAATCCCCAGTTGACAGACTTTGGGTTGTTTAGTTCATTGGTATAAGCAAGGCGGGAACATTCTTGTGCATGTATCTTTAACTCAAGAACTTATCAGGAAAGTAGATAAATTGCTAGAAGTCTGGTCCCTGTCACCGGTTTGCTTTCCAGAAACTTTACTTTTTAAATTTTGTCAATTCCCATTGCTGCAACAACGTTTGAGAATATAGAAGCAGATTTTTTCGGTTCAGTGACTTGAAAGTCTTCAAATATTCAAAATTAATATTCATTACTTTTGGCAAACAAATGTCAAATGTTCCTAATGACTAGATTAAAACATGTGCTATTTAATGATTAGTAGACAAAACAAATCTTTCCAACTGTTGTCCAAGCCATCAGGAAAAAAAAAATCCCTTCTTCTTCCGTGTTCTTACACACAATACTTTGTGTATACGTCTATGGAAGCACTTATTTGATTTTAACTTTTATTCTTGGGTGCTTTCACAATTAAAATGTTAGCTCCCTGAGGGCAGGAACTGTACCACCACCCTGCAAGGATCTTACAAAGTGTGTCTGAACCTCAGGAAACTTTGTGGATGAATAAACAGCCACAAAATTTTCCATTTGCTTCCCCCCCATTTAGCAACTTCCACCTCCCTCTTTTTCCTTGGGTTTTGAAATATAAGTGTAATATTTGCCCAGGGCAAACAGACTCAGGGCTTGGGAGGTCGCATTGTGTAATGGATGTTAAATCAGCCTAGTTTAACTCTTGGCTGTGATTTATGAGCTTTGGGATACTGGGCAAATTGCTTAACTCCTCTGAATCCTAATTTTCTTCTCTGTAAAATGGAGATAAAAGGCTCTCTTTTGAAAAGTGTCATACAGATTAAAGGAAGTTATGTTTTAAAGCCTTTAGCAAGGTGCTTAGGGTCACACTTGATAAAAAGGAGCTATGGATGTTATTATTTCCTCAAAGGTACAGATATATATATATGTATATGTATATATATATATATATATATATATATATATATATATATATATAAAAGTCAATGGTTATTGCTTGCCTTCCACTCCAGTGGATGCATCAACTTCTTGATTGGACACCAACAAAAGCTCCAAGTTAACGGAGATTAGGTCTGAGACTTGTAATAAAATCAATCTAGAACATATGTCAGTGATGAAAATTTATGTTTTTAAAACTGAAAGAAATTCTCAGAGTATTGAAATAGGGAATGAATAGGATTGGGCTAGGCATTAATAACCATAAGAGTATTTTGCTAGGGTAAAAAACAACGTCGGGCAGTCCCTAGCCCAAAGCATCACGTTATACAACTCCAGTGAATAAAAAACAAAACAAAACAAAAAAATGAAAATGTAAAAGTTGAACTATAATGACCTTTGTTCTTTCCTAACAAGCAACCAACCTTTTAAAATGACAACCTACTTTCACCTTCTTGGCCCTAGGACCACTATTGGTTTTCACCAGATTTGCCTTCCTACACTGGAGCATAGGTGGCTGAACCTACTTTCCACATAACAGTTGAGCCTTAAGAATGTGGGAACACCCTGTGAACTGCTCACTAAATTTCGTTCAGGTTTCTGCACTTTCCTGCTGGAGATGGCTCAGGGAAATGCAGCTTCATCTGTGTGTCACATTTCCAATACTGCTTCCCTCCACTTAGATTTTCTGTGTATAAAGCCAGTTATCATGAGTAAGTGCACTTCTAAAAATCTATGGAGGAAAAGACTGCAACATCTTCTGCACTTAAGCAGAATTTAAATTTGAGCAAAAGATAGCTTTCTTTGAAGACAGAGTTTTAAAAAAGATGAGCAAAGTGTGTACTTCCTGAGACCAAGTAAATATCCTCTTCTAAGGAAGCAAGGACACTTCTTCCTCTTCCTCTAAGGAAACCCGACCCTGATTCTTTTTTTTTTTTTTTTTTCAAGACTTAGCAGAAACACAATGCTTCACATTATAAAGGCTTATTACAACACAATGACAGCACTATAATTTCTATCAGGGTGAAGTGCTTCACTTGGCTTTAGGCCAGTGAGGCTCAGGGTCATTTAGCACTTCTATAATGTCTGACACAGGCAAATACCTTTATGTTAATGCAATCTGCATTTATTTAGGAAGCATTTTAAAAACGTTATTTTAACAGAATCTCATTAGAAGCAGCAGCAGCAGCAGCAGCAGCAGCAGCAGCAGCAGCAGCAGCGGGATCTTGCACGTGACCAGATTTGTTTTCCCTGGTGTGGATAGACTTTCAGATGGTCTATAAGCCATTTTGAGTGATGGTACCACCCACTTCTGAGGCCCAAGCAGTTGTAAAATCTGTTTGGTGGGCAGAAGGCCTTTTGGTTCTTTTGTCAAAGAAAACCTGTAATTGTAAAATTCCTTCTTGATTTCATTGTTTACATAGACATAAATAATGTTCCCTTGTCTTTTTTCTGGTTATGTGGTATGTGGTCATTCTCAATGTTTTGAAGAAGTTAAGTAAGACCTTTAAGTAAACATCTTAGGGAAATAGCTAAGATCTAAAGCTAGCACCACTTCATATTTTTGTCTATTAAAAGAAAGACATAGATTTTTTTCAGAAGGCTTCCACCCCACTGCCCCTGCTTGTTTCTTGTCGTCATTGTGGGCTTTGGCCCCAGGAGACTATGTCTCCACATAAAAGCCGTGTAATCCTTACTTTCCAGTGAGAACTACCTGAGTACTTACAAGTAATACTTCCTTCCCACGTGGACAGGCATGGTGGCTGCTTCCTTCCCACGTGGACAGGCATGGTGGTGTGACCGGAGCCCTGCAGTGCAGCTGGGGACATGGGAGAGGGGGTGAGAAGATGAATCCTCCGTAGGGAGCAAGGCTGTGTAGCAGGTCTTTGATCCAATAGCAACATTGGGTCTAGCCAATTAGAGTTGTCTCAGTCTCCCTTAGCAATCTGACATGGCAAGCATACTGCAAGTACTTCCCAAGACTTCTCTCCTTTTTGCTTAGACTGGCGGTAGGATAAGGATAGACTGTGGGCGGTCTAAAAGGAAAAACAAAGTATTTGTTTATTCATCCATTTATTGATAATAAATGCAAACATTTCCTAAGTGCTCTGTATGGCCCAGGCACTGTGCTCAATGCTTTTATTATTTTTCTTTTAAGATTTTATTTATTTGAGAGAGAGTGAGAGAGAGCACAAGCAGGGAAGAGAGGGAGAAGCAGGCTCCCCACTGAGCAGGGAGCCGGATAAATGATGCGTGGGGCTCTGAGCTCCATCCCAGGGGTTAGGTTCATGATCTGAGTTGAAAGTAGACCTTTCACTGACTGAGTCACCCAGGCTCCCCTGTGCTCAATGTTTTATGTACATTATCTCTATTAATTCTTACAATAACCACAAAGCAGGTAAATGTCAACCTTCATTTAGCAGTTGAGGAAACTGAGCCTTAGGAGAGTGTAAAGAAACTTGCCCAAGGTCATGCAACAGTAAGAGGCAAAGCTGGGACTCTATCCTGCTGTGATGCCAAGGCTGTGTTCTTAACCACTGTGCTATACTGCCTCCCTGTGTTAGAACATCTTTTATCTTTTATCCACAACAGGGTGGAAGATAAGTAGAAGATAAGAAACCTGCCAGATGCTAGATGCCTGGAGATATTATTATATACGCTTGTCATTATATTAACATAGTGTTGGAAGTTATGTTAAATTGTCATGTTTATACAAACAATGAGGAAACTTAAATAGGCTCCAGCAAATGTAATTCAAGCTGTTTGATCTCTAAAATATGATTATAATGATCTCTTTCTGTTGGCCTCTGTCTATCTCTGGTTTTCTGAAGTGATCTTTTGTTTTGCATGAACAGTTGTTGCTGAGCAATGCCAGCTGCAGGGGAACGATTCATGATTACCTCCTCCCCCCTCTTTCTTCCCTCCCCATCACCTCTGATCCTCACAAGTGCTATAATTTTAAATTTATTTATTTATTTATTTATTTATTTATTTATTTTAAATATTTTATTTATTTATTCATGACAGACACAAAGAGAGAGAGAGGCAGAGACACAGGTAGAGGGAGAAGTAGGCTCCACTCAGGGAGCCTGACGTGGGACTTGATCCCCGGTCTCCAGGATCACACGCCAGGCTGAAGGCGGCGCCAAACCGCTGGGCCATCTGGGCTGCCCTAATTTTAAATTTATATGATTGACAGAGATGGGAAGCTCTCATGTGTATTTCTCTTACAAAATTTATTAAAGCAAAAGCATCTCCAAAAAGGCCCCAGCATTGTGTCTGGTTCAGACACAACCCTTCAGGAGGGAACACGGCCAGCAATATAATTTAGTTGGAAGATGGTGAAGCAGAAGGAGGAGGAAGAGTTTGGGGAATTTTAAGTGCTCTGATTCTCATAGTCTCCTATTTTGGGCACCCAGAGGGATAGTTACATCTCAAAGCACAAATTAGAGTAAGGAGAACTTCTGAGATTATGTAATGTCCTCTGTTAGAGACATCAGATTTAGGGTTGGTCTAATTTACTTTGACTACTCATTTCTGAAAATTGCCTCTGGGATGCAGCGTCATCCTTAAATTA